GTGGTAGAATGGGATGGTAGGACGTGATGGTAGGACGTTATGGTAGGACGTGGTGGTAGGACGTGGTGGTAGGACTTTGTTGGTAGAACTCGATGGCAAGATGTGATGGTAGGACATGATGGTAGAACATGATGGTAGGACGTAGTGGTAGGATGTGATGGTAGGATGTGATGGTAGGACGTGGTGGTAGGACGTGGTGGTAGAACTCGATGGTAGGACACAATGGTAGGACACAATGGTAGGACACAATGGTAGGATGTGATGGTAGGATGTGATGGTAGGATGTGATGGTAGGACGTGGTGGTAGAACTCGATGGTAGGACACAATGGTAGGACACAATGGTAGGACACAATGGTAGGATGTGGTGGTAGGATGTGATGGTAGGATGTGGTGGTAGGATGTGATGGTAGGATGTGGTGGTAGGACGCGGTGGTAGGACGTGGTGGTAGAACTCTATGGTAGGACACAATGGTAGGATGTGATGGTAGGATGTGATGGTAGGATGTGGTGGTAGGACGCGGGGTAGGACGTGGTGGTAGAACTCGATGGTAGGACACAATGGTAGGACACAATGGTATGATGTGATGGTAGGATGTGGTGGCACTTTAACTGAAGAGTATGATAATATTTCTATGAAGTGTAAAGGAGCTTATAAAGGGAGGACACTGATGAGTAGTTTTCAAGATCAACACAAGTATCAAACCCAAACACAGAGTCCGGTGTGTGCGTGCGTGCGTTTGTTTGTTTGTTTGTTTGTTTGTTTGTGTTGTGAGTGTTTTTGCCCCCCCCCCCCTCCTCCAACATACACTAAAACTGGGTGCGTTCAATTGTGATGCGAGCAGACACATGCATAAATATACACACTCCCACACAATCTCAGGCAGACAATGACACAGGGAGGCTGCGAGACAAGGACAGATCCGGTAGTTAAAGCGTAATGAACACGTCCCCGAGGCGCGCGCCTGGCATTCCCCTGAATGATGGACTGACAGTAATACCGGGGCAGATGGGTGCCCTCCACGCCCCCTTCAACACCACACACACACACACACATCCTCCCCCTGGTCTGTCCTCTCCTGCAGAGAGATACCCCCTGTAGGTCTGATGTGGAGGTGGGGAGGGGCACCAGGGGTGCTGTGTATACGTGTGTGTGTGCGTGCACCTAGAGGTGGGGGTTAGAGGGGCACGAGTATGAGGGCCCCCGTCATGATTTAGGCTCCCATGCAAATTTAATCAATTCGAGTACCTCTCGCCAGCCAGGGCTCATTAGCAGCAATTTTAAAAAAAAGGGGGCTCTGTGATCCCCACCTCACTGCATGAGGCAGACATTCAGCTCAGGCACACACACACGCACAAACATGCTAAGATACTCACACAAAAACGCACACGTCAGGGACACTGTCAAGACTGTAAAGATTTTCCTTCAGACGTCTTCCCCCTGGCATGGAGGGAGATGCTGAATCTCCCCCCCCCCCTCCCTCTCCCCTCTGTCCCTCCTCTCTATCCACTACTTCAAAAGCCCCATGACACCCAACTCCAAGTTAAAGGGGAGCGGGATCTGAAGATAAAGACTACCTCTCATCCCCCCCTCCACCCCTCGCATTGTGAGACACCCTCCCGACACTCAAACCCCAGGCTACCTCTCTCTTCTCCCCACCTCGCGCTCTCCAGCTCTCCGTAATTGGGGGGGATCGATTAGTATTGTCCTTAACCATCCTTAACCTTGGCTGGGTGCTCTTCTGGAGCCGGGCGGAGCTGTGTGGGTGAATGATGAGGGTGGAGGTAAAGCACTCGCTAAGGATCAAGTGCCAGGTTAGAACCCGGGTGGGGAGTTGATAGCGTTTGTTCTGTAATAACAAAGAAAATGTGACCACAAAAAGGTTCGGTTCACCAATGTCACAGTGGACAGTTTTTGTTCTTATTTGATCAGGTGTTTTTTTTTTTTCATCTCTGAGATTTCAGCTGCAACCCGCAATAAAATAAAACAATATCGTATTTTCAAATGTCACTCTACTCACTTTCAGCCGCTCTCATGGGGACGTTTCTTCAGAGGATGAAGTATCGTTCACTTTTACTGTACGGGGGTCGTACTTGTGTTAAATGAGAGAACACATGTTTGTTATTTGAGTGAATTTACCATATGGGAAATGTGAGGCAAACAATGAATCAAATGTAGATTTAACAAAATAGCAGAAAAGAAGGAGAAATGTCTAAAGGTTTTACTTCAGTATGACCGATGCAGAGTTGATCTAGAATGTTAACCACAGCACTAACGGCAAATAAAAGTCCCATAATACATGTGATCACTAAACAAAGATCCATTGTATCGCACCCTTTCTTAACCAGGCTACACTTTTACTCTCAGTTCCTACTTTCCAGGGTCAACGTCATACCCTCCGGCTGTGTGACCACCCCAATTCCCCCCCAAAAAAGACTGTTCGTTAGCAAACCTCCAGGGTCATTAACCCAAGAGATGCCTTTGTGTGGGGGGGACAGGATGGCCTGTGACAGCCGTAAAATGAGTTATGAGGCTTTGGACAACACCAGAAATGCCCGCCTATATCTTTAAAATCAGAAGGTCGCCTACTTGCGCCCAACCCCTGGGCCCTGCCGCCGCATCCCGGCGGAAGAGTCCCGTTGCTGGGGTGGGGGGAATGAAAGGAGAGCTTGAGGAGGAACAGGGGCCCGTCTGTGCTTCGGGTCGCGCAGCCCCGGAGAGGGGTCCCGGAACTGCGCACACAGTGTTTTGACCCCTGGGCTCTCGTCGACGAAACCCTCGAACCCCGCCGGGGGGGGGGGCCCGAGGCTCCCGATGCACGCAGGCGCTCTCGGCGGCGTGACGCAGTAGCGGAGGGCAAGGGGGGAGTGGGAGGGCAGGCGTGGAAGGGAAGTCAATCAGTTTTTCTTGCTGGGTACACTGGGAGGACTGTGACGGGCCTTTTGTGTGCTCGTGTTGGTGTCTTCGCGCGCAGCAAATGTACATGGACGCTATGTTCATGTTTACCCAACATTTATAGTGCAATTAAGGAAACTGCTGAGTGTTAAATGAGGAGCCTTTGCTCTGGTCAGCAGTGTCGGGGGCCAAGGCCTTCGGTCTTCCTCCTCCAGCCGCTCCACCTCTCACCGGGGCGTGGTGACATTTACGCCCGGCTCCCTCCCTCCGTCCGTCCCTTCTGGCCCCCAGGGGAGGCTGATGGATGGGCCCCGTTCATGAAGCTGCCGCCGCCACAGTGATCAATCAAAGCCGGGTCACCGTGATCTGCTGCTCGCCGCCAGGCTCCTCAGTCTATTTCACACTGTAGGCCCGGAGGAGAACCACACGTACAGTTTGTTAGCACACACGTGCACATCCAGGTCGGGATCGACGGAGGCTGACGGCGCGGCCGCAGCGTGCGTCAGGGTGGCTCGACTCAACCCGGCTTCTCTCCTCGGGGAGGCGAGTTGGACCGATGGCAGGAGACGTCGCCGGTGGTAAACCGGGGAACTTTTCCACATTGAGGCCGTCTGAGCTGTAACCGCTCCACCGTGGCCCTCGCACACGCTTGAGCCGGGGAGAGAACGGAAAGATGCGAGGGAGACGTGACAAACGACAGCTCTCGCAGGCCTTATCGTGGGACGCCTTTTGTTTTTACGTGTCACAGTAAGCGCCGGGGTAAATTATTCAATTAGTGACGATTTAAATCCATTTAAGCGCCTTCGATTTCTAGCTGCGGTGTCGCGCATGCTGGCTCGCGTGTCACGGCTCTCTGGGACACCTGGACGTAGCAGAGCCGTCTTAGATGCAATTAGTGACACCGTTGCTTTTTTTTCTTTTTAATGACAAGTCGACAAAGGCAGAGGAGTATGGGCAATGATTTAGTTGATTAATAATATAATATCACATGACCTGTGGCAAATCGCAGGCGGTATCACATCAAGATAACAAGAATAAGCTGAAGAAACAGGTGCAGCTCTAACATTAGTCTCTCACGGGAGCCGTTCACCAGAGGTACTTTCTGCATAAAGCACAGCTGCAGATAAAATGAATAATGGGTCATTTTGATTGAAGTGAGCTAATGAGCAAGAATTGACGATACCGTTATTAACGATTCGAGTTAATAAAACCGACACCTAAACTGTAGGTGATTTGTGTTAGCTGCAGCCGGGTGGAGCCTGCTGCGACGTGGGAAAGGGGTCCGATGCCAAAGCCAAAGCCTGCGCATGAGGTCCCCAAGACGGCCCGAAGGCTTGAGCTGAGGCCGTGGCTCCGCTTCACAGCAAGACGCCGGACCTACAAGTGTCCCACGCACCAAGTAAATAACCATCAAACTGAAGCAGTAAAGCCAGACACGTTCTGGGTGAGTGCAGTGAACACAATCAACTAGTTAAACGGCTTTAACTAGTTGATTGTTGTGGCATTTTCATTGGTTCAGTGTCTTTTATCAGAGACCAGTCTAATAAATGTCATCGACATCCGATAAACGAGACGACGAACCTGAATGTGACCAATGTGGCCGTGATGAGCCGGAGGACACGGAGGGATGCCAGAGTTGATTTTGGCAGAAAAAATGATGCATTTCTTTGGCTTCGTCGGAGAAGCCTTTAAAATGTAACATTACAGCTAAAGTTATGACACGTTTTATGCCCTTTTTCCAACTTGTACTTAACTAGAAAGCTGTATGTGACACAGGCAAAGACCAAGAACGTCAGTGAAATCACAACCACGATCAAACAAAAAAAAAAAAGTCTAAAAAGGTGAAGTCATGCTAAGGGATTTCTCTCTGTATATGTTCCTGTTTAACAAGCCCCCTCCCCAACATATCTCACCCCCCAAATAATGTGATAAAGAACACCGATGCCCCCTACTGGTACAAAACAGAATACGATCTACTGCCACAATGCTGATGGAAGTCAAGCGGTCACATGTATACTTTGTTCTGATATTTATTCAAACGAGACTAAGTTGTCAAATATGTACAAAACGTCAGCAGCAACATTGGAGGGAATGCCGATAATGTTGTGATCCAGAAGTCCATTCGGTCATTGGGAAAGATGGTGATTTCTTGCGCTGACTTTGACTCTCAGCGCTTCCTCTTGACCTCAAACTTGTAGATAGCTGCAGAATTTGGCGTCTCCTTTTTTACCTTCACTTTATTGTACTTATCCTGGTGCACAGAGGAAAGAAAAGTTAAGACAGTCATTGACAAACGACAACAAAATGAGAAGACGGCAAAGACGATCTCCTGCTCCGCACCTGTAGGTCCTTGCGGGTCTGAATCTTCTGGCTGATTACCAGCAGCTTCCTTTCTCGGTCAATCCGCTGGGAAAGGATCTTATACTGGTTGTTTCTCTGCTTGGTCAACTTCTACAGACAGAGAGGAGGGGAAAACACGAGTGGGCATGCAGCATGTACTCCATTGGTTCGGGCGGGCTCACTGCAAAACGAAGCTGCCCTCGACGCATTGTCAACACGGACCTTCACATGTTGAGCCTGTACAGCTCCCCGGATGCTCTGGGTCTCCAGGGTTTTCAGAGTGGGTCTGTTGAACTTTCTGTCCACCAGCTCCGGAGCCGTGTTCAGGTGGGTCGCCAGGTCAAATGACTGCACTGAGGAGACACGGAAAAAACATCACGTTGAAATGTTTCGGCTTCTGTAGGAACCCGATAAGAAGCCCAGAGACGAGGGTATCCATTCACATGCACGGATAACTACTGTACATGCAGGTTTACCTTCCGCATTGGAATCCACGAAAAACGTATGCTTGTTTTTTTGTTTGCTTTCTGCATCCAGAAGATGGAGCACTCCTTTCATCTTCTGAATTTTCTGAAAGACGATGACACACAAAGACTTACAGGGAGCGACGACAGAAGCCCCCTTTTGGGAGGATTTATATGTATAAGTGTGCGTGTGTGTGTGGGAATAAACTTACCGCACCCTCTGCAACTCTCTTCATCTCCACATATTTAATATCCTGCGTCCTCATCACTTTCTTCTGCTCCTCTGTCACCTCAACTTCCTCCTGGGTTTTTTTTATTACGTGAACTCCATCCTGACAACATGCCACAAAACGAGACGTACACATGTCAGTCAGAAGAGACCCCCGGATGAGGGGTCACACGGGGTGGCGCTTTGCTGCTCTTACCTCCAGCTTAGAGTTGATCATCTTGTGGTAAAACTCATCTGGGTTCTTCTCCATTGCTTTCTTTTGCAGAGCAGCAATGGTGTTCTGTTTCTTGTGGTAATCACTTCAGAAACACACAAATGATATAACGTTATTTAGTGAACGTGTTAGGACATTAAATGGTCCGATCAGATGTCTGGAAACGTAAAAACATGTCTCTTAAAGCACATTCAACTCACTCTGCGCGGAGTTTGTAGTCTTTCTTCTTCTCCAGCAATCCCAAATGTTTCCTGAATTCAGGCTGGTGGAACAAAAATGAAACATTTAATATAAGCGATGGACTTTCTGTGCTCACGTTTCATTTTATTAACCATGTATTAGACATTTCCAACGTGGCTAGCATGCTAACAAGCTAGCCGGCAGGAGGCTGAAATGCTCACCTGAGATCTTTCATGGTGGTTTCTCTGTTTGGATTTCAACGCTTTCCTGAACGACGACATTCTGAAAAAAAAAAGTCGTGAACCCGTAACGAAACAGAACTGTTGAGTCGAAGTCCGACGTGGGGCTTTTCTAAGCTGTGCGGACGCTGGAAGCTTCTTGTTGCTGCTGGCTGAACATGTGGCTTCCGGTCCGGTTCACTGCGCGTTGTTTCCTTGCCGCAGATTCGCGACTCTGGTCGCGGTGAAAGAATCATGGGAAACGTAATTCATGGCGGATGGTTGACGGATATATAAATTAATTAATTATCACATCGCATTTGAAAAGTGAAACAGAAAAGAATATACTTATTTCTGTTGAAGAAAAAAAAAAAGGTGTATTAAAATTCGCTCTTCGTGTTTGCAGAGGCGCGTCACAAACAGTAGGTGGTGCTGTTGCATACATTTAAACTGCTCCAAGAACTACATACAGTATTCAAGCATTTGTACTTTACCTAATTGTTTCCATTTTATGCTACTGTATACCCACAACACACATTTCACAGGGTAAAGCTGTATTTCTTACTTTACACATAGTGTGTGAGGGCCATGGTTATATTTACTATGTATAATTCAACTACTATTGCTATGTTACATGCAAAGAGGCTGTTCTGATGCATAATGACACTTCAAATCAAGTAAAGTTTCCAATGCAGGACCTTAACTTGTAGTATTTTTGTAGAGTTTCTGTACAGTAGAAAAGCGATGCGCATTTTTCTCTCATTCAGAAGTTGTATACGAGCCAGACTTGACACAGGAAAGACTTAGAACAGTTGGGTCATGACAGCGCTGCTGACTTCATAGGTCTGGCCTGCACTGTTCAGACACCAAATTATTTAGGTCATTATAATGAGGGCCTGCATTTGCCAGAGCTCACAGTTAACACTAATTGGTAATAAGTTTATGTTTTTCCAACGAGGACGTTTATTACATGTTTCCGTTGGGGTTTCAGGCCCTCGCTTTGATTCCGGTCCAGACCAACACACCGAATTACAGATTTTTTTCATTTTGAGGGGGAAAAAAAGTCTGTGCAGGAACTTGGACGAAGAGGGGGGTCATCACTCTACACCGGGAGAAAAGACTATCCATTTCCTGACATGATATTTTGGGTTGTGGGTAGATAAGGACAAAGCCCCAATGAAACCAGTCCCCTAATCTCACTCAGACTCCCAAACTCTTTGTGGACGTGAGAAGAAGCCAGAGGGATATTCCACTAAACAGACATTTTCCCCCCACGGCTGCTCACTATCCCCTCACCAACCGCCAGGAATTTGTTTTATATGTGTGAGATTTGCCCGGCATGCAGAATGCTTTGCGGGTGATTAGACCAATGAATGGGATCAGTGTTTCCACATTATGTACCCGCCGTGTTTATCAGTCTGATGGCTAATGACCCCGATTCCTGTGAAGGTTTCAGCCCAAGGCCGGACTGGGCCGCTCAACCACCAAGCGTGTTTATCACACACCGCAGCCGGGATTTACGGGTCAAATGTCTGCTTTCTGACTTATTTGGCTCCTCGCTGTTTAGTACATGGGAGTCTTTATCGCTGCAAGTTAAATGCCTGGTCGAGCCACGACGGGGGTAAATGCTACTTTGCAGATCGGGGGCCTTGCAGCGAAGCTGATGCGAGAGCAGGGGGACGAGAGCTCGGTGGGTTTGTTCAGGGTCGGCAGTGAAGGAATGCCCTTGTGGGGCAGATGCAGGTCCGTTTGGTTTTCTAATACGACCCTGTAAAAATAACACTGCTGACATGTTGCAAGGCGGCTGCACTTGGGCTGAGCTCAGGGCTTTGGTATGTCTCCCCTGACCATGGTTGGTCCTCGTCTGCAGCGAGACACCCGGCCAGCCCAGTTGAAAAATGCACGAGCAAGAAGTTCCCCCGATGGGATTATTTAGGTGCATCTCTTAAAAATAACTCGTAGGTTGGCTGTGGAGGAACCTTCCTAAGTGCAAACTGTTAGTGTTCAGCTCCACCTCAAGCGACTATAACTTAAGACCCTGATGCATTAGTATTAACAATCGAATAACCAAACATTAATGGATGTTACATTTGCATGGCCATTTACTTTTACTTTGTTGGACGTCCAAACGTTGCCTTTTACTTCCCGGCGCCCGAGCCACACAGGAGACGCACCCCTGGGTGGGATTCTCAGCATCACCAGAGACTCTTGTAAAACCAAAACGGTCTTCAATTGAGTGCTAATGTGAAGCTTATTTACCCGCCTTGATTTAGCCTTTTCTAATACTGCAGACACACTCAGTGGACGATGGACGGCTGTCACATGAGGCAGCTAACTTCTCTTTTCAGAGGAAGAAAGCGCGAGGGAGTCATCGAGCCGTTTGTCCACCTCCCCCTTTGAATCGAACCTCTATCCGGTCGTTTGCTGCTCGCAGTCGGACCAGGACCACGCCTCACAGGGTATAATTAGACTTCATAATGAAGGGGTTGTGGGGAAAATACACAGTGTCACACCACAAAGACAAGTCACATGTTTGGACAGTTGTGTGAAAAGGTCTTCTGTGTTTAACGAGACATTAGCCGACATATTTATCAGACGGACGTGAGAGTATTCCGGTTTATTCTGGGGTTATTTTGGGTGAGCTATACTTTGATCCCCGATCGAGGTAGCGGATCTTGTCATGTGATGGCCGATGTTTGATGACGAGTTAAGACACCATTACCACGCCGATCCTTTTCATTTAAGACAATTCAAGACAAAAAGGAGTTGTATTTATTTCTAATGGGCCACGTAGAAACCTCAAATGAATGAAGTTATGAACACATTGATTACTTCAAGTCGAGTTTCCAATGATCATTCCTTCCGGTTTGGTCTTGATCTCAGTCCTGAGGGAAATAACTGGCTTCTTAGCTCAGTGCTTTGTTCACTATATGTTCAACATCACCAGCGGCGAGTGGGTTTAACAGAGCGTTCTACCTGCTGCGTCCTGAAAATGTGGCCACGGGACAGAAAAACAGTGCAGTCACAGGAGAGCAAACCGACGGGATGCTCCGTGGAGACGAGGGGAGCTGCAGGGGTGGTTGATAGTTGTATTAAACATCACGCGGGATCATGTAAATATAATAAAAGCTGATTATTGGGGGGTTAACTGACGCATGAATGCCTGAAATAAAAGAAATAGAACAAAGCTATCTGTCACACGGGGTGGTGCTTCTGCCAACAAACCCACTGATTAACAGTAATGACTCAAACGATAAGTTCACATCCGTCACTGCAGCCCGGAATAAAGGTCAATCCTAATTCGTTGAGTCATGAGAGAAATGACACACCATGACCCGCACTGTAGAAGAGGGAGGCAAAGTTCACCATCTGGGTTGGTCTGGATCTGGTACGGTATAAGTCAGTGCGTACAAATAGTCAACAAACGTCACTTGAGACAGAGCACGTCCACACGAAAAGTAACAGAGAGCTTTTATCATTTCGACGGTTCAATTTCACTGCTTTAATGCTCCAATGTTTATATAATGCTTCCAATAAAATATGTATCTTGTTTGAAACATGTTATTTAGGGTGATCCTTCTACTTGATGTTATTCTGTATCTTATACTCGAATCAAACCTACACACAATTCTCACTAAACCCCTGAAGCTGCTTTATAGACATTTTGATGACGTGATGCTGTCACGTGATAGTGAAGATCCAGACTTGTTGTGAGCGATCAGGTTCTTACACCCCCTTTCTTTGCAGACACATTTTCTAACTTTAGTCTTTATCATACAAACACTTCCAAAGCTTTTTGCCAACTATCTTAAACCTTGATACATTCATTTATTCCATTGATTGTTTAGAAGTAAGAGAGAGAAGCGGAGGCCCAGCAGGGAGCTCGCTCCATCAGGGTCTCCTCTCTGCTCAGCTTTGAAGGACAGGAAGGAGGAATGGATTTTTTTTTTCCTCCCTTTTTCTTTTTTTTTTTGGGTGCGGGAGGGGTGTGTAAGGGGGGGCGGGGGAGGCGGGATCTTGTGACTCACCAGCCACTTCCTCAGTAGTAGGACAAACGCAGCCGGCGCACCGCATCACTGTCTGCCAAACAGAGGTTTGACTGCTGTCAGAAGACCCGCAGACTGATCCCGGACCCGCTGGGAGCGAGTGGCCGCCGACAGGCACAGGGAGGCGGGGTAGCGCCGGCGCGTCGCACGGGGAGCCTCCACGCTTCGGTCTCCGCTCCCGGTAGGACTCCACTTTTTTACCCACGGCGCCTCTTCCACCTCGCTGGGGCAAAAGTTTTTTGCTTTTTTTTTTACATCAAATACTCGGGAATTACTCAATGTTAATGTTAAAATACTGTATTTGATGGGGAAATATACCAGTTTGTCACCAAGTAATGATTGTGGTGAAACATTGTAGCAGCTGTGATATAACTGTTACAACCTGTAATGAATGGAAATACTTTTATCATTGTTATCAGTAGGGGCAGCAGGGTTAGTTGCACAGTATTTATGGTTCCTCTGTACGTTCTGGGATATTTCTGCTGCTGTAAAACATCTGTGGGTGTATGAGGATTAAAGCGGTAAACACGCCGCCCCGGGGGAGTCGAACCCTGACTAAAGAGGACCCACTTCCTGTGACAAGAGAGCGGCTGGACCTTTTCCTTCTGCCCCCCTCCTGCCACACTAGTCACCTATCACACCTGCCCTCCCGGTAGTATCCAATCGGCGGAGCAACGGGCTGTTTCGGGGCCTTTTCGTGCCACAGAAGCTCCCAGCTGAGCGGCGTGCGAAGGCCTCAAGAGAGCAAAGGGCCTCAAGCTAATCTGGTCCCTTCTCGGGCAGCAGGAAGTGGGATTTGGCAGCGTGCATCTGGGACGGGTGCATGCGTGCTCTTTTTTTTTTTAAATCACAGCGCACAGGACCAGTGGCAGTTGTTTGCCGTTCGCCTGTTGCGTCATCGGAGGGCACGTTGGGAAAGTCAAGTGTTGCAACTTGCCAAATAAGAATATTTGATCGTGAGCTTACATGTTTTATGGGAATGTATCACATGCCCTTCAATACTTATCGTACGATGGATCTTGGTTCCATTTGGAAGAACATTTGATGGTGTGATTATATCAGATGGAACTCAGACTGGTTACAAACCGGAAGTCATTTGGTTTTTAATATGTTATTGAACTTTTCAGCTTATTCTTAAGCATTTGACGGGATTTACTTATTTTTCTGGCCATGCATTAACATCCGTGGTCCTTATGAGACACTTAACAGTTTTCTTTTCTAGTCACAGCAACGGGTAGAAAAATAATTCCCCTGCAGCTAAAAAGTCCTTCTGTCCCATTTTGCCTCTGTGGCAGTTTGCCTTGACTCAGCCCACAAGGGCTGCACAATGTATTTGTTTGCTTTCTTCCCCTTCCTCCCTCCCTCTCTCCCTCTCTCCCTCTCTGCTTCATTGACCATGGTCACATTCTTCAGAGGTCTCGGTGTTTTTCAAAGGTCAGCCCGGCGTAGTGGTTGGACCTCAGCCAGCGCCGAACTGCAGCAGGACTGCAGCTAAGTGACTGGTTGTGGCTGTTTGTTACGGGTTGGGAGTGATGGAGAATCGGTGGACGAGTGTTCGCAGGCAGCAGAATTTAGATCTGTGTCCAAGCACTTCTCTTTGGACGTTTCGCAGCTGTCTGACCCTTTGCGGTCTTTCGGAGGACACATTCTGTGCAAGGCCTTCCTTCCATCTGTTGTTTCCACCAGACTATAATGCTTACTCTCCTTGTCTCTCTGTTTCCTCACACGTCTTCTCTTTGCAGTGCTTTGCCCCTCTTTTTTTGTGCACGATATTTATTGTGTTTCAGATGTTGTTTTTTAATCACCGTCCAAACCGAATCCAGATTTAAGCTCTTCGGATTGATTTGAAGAAACGTCACATCTGTGCTTCATGTGAGACCAAACACAACCCTCCTTTGAACTGTATCTGCTAAATCCTTGGACATCACATGCTTCCGCCTGTTGGATTTCAGTCTTTCCCCCCCCCCCCTGGTAGTCCTCGGCAGGCTGCGGGGGGGCACCTGGCTGGCAGCGGGAGTGCGTCTGAACGGCCTGAAAGGCAGGAAGTGACCTCAGGTTTCCTGTGAGGGGATGGCCAGGTGCCGGGCTGTTATTCTGAGGGGCGCAAGACTTCCTCCGTGGAAGCTTTGAGGGTAAACGTGTGAAACCTGATCCGCTGAGCCAGGGCCCCCCGCGGGAGGTAATGTGGCCGCGCTCGCCGTCCAGCCATCCTGCCTCCTCGCTCTGCTTCCCTCTTTGTCACTGATGTGCGCCCCACAGTCTCCACTCCGTGTGAGAATTTGTGTAAAGAGAACATAAACTTTATAGAGGCGGTTCAGGGGTGTTAGAGGTAACTGACTCTGTGCTAATGGGGTAATTACATTGCTTTAGGGATACAATTACAGGGCAATACCTCGTACTTACCTGCTACCCTCAAAGCAAGTGCTGTTTTCAAAGGAAATACCAAATTGTAAGCGCAGAACTGCAGATGCTCCATAGCTACACACTTACTCATGTAATACAAACTAATAATATGTTATGAAAGAAGGGGGCTACGCTTTGCATCGCTTGAACTGCTTCAATTGAGCGTATTTGTCTGAGCATATTCAACGAGTGGTTCCCCCCCCCCCTCCACCTGGTCGGTGCTTTCTTTAATCGGTTTCGCATGAAACAGATGTTTCTCGGCTGCAGACATCCCGGCGATTCACTGCGGCGTCGCCGTTGTGAGCTCGATTGGAAGGCGTGAGTCGGGCGTGACGTTTATCCTGCACCCATCGCCTGCAGGCAGGAGCGCCGCGCTCCAACGGAGGTGTCTGACGTGTGCCTTTTCTCAGGACCCGGCGAAAGGAATGCTGGGATGCAAAATGTAACTCCTGACGCAATTTGTTCCCCCGGGAACAGAAACCTGTCCTTGCTTTCAAAGAAACTCCCCCACCTCTGTCACGGTTTGACTTATTGCCAAATACTGTGGGAATCTATCGAGAGTTGCTTAATATTACTTGTTTGCCGAACGCAATGACACCCATAAAAATGCGTCCCTCTGGGTGAAACGGTACAAATGAGTCGTGGCTTTGGATAAAAGCGGCAGCCAAATGAAGGAACGCAAACGATAGCTGGATATATTAAGCTGGCGTCCAAAAGCAAACAGTCCCATCGAGCAGCGCGGAGGAGCGAGGGCTTGACGTTTTTTTATACAACCGGTAATGATGTGTATAAGAAATTCATATAACTACTGGTTATGTGGGGCTGTGGCTAATGGCTAAATCATAACCTATGGTTAAAGAATGTTGGGTGGGCACAATTGCTCCACCACGCGAGGCAATAAGATGTTTATTCACCTGATGACGGCTTTCCCCTCCATAATGTTAAACCACAGCTTTCTATCTGGGATTAGAGGGATCTTCTTCTGGATAATGTTGTTATTGAGGGAATCACTGGTCCACCGACCTACAGCTACACTGGAAAAAATGCCCCTCCAAAAATAAGTAAAAAAACAACAAATACGAGACGTTTTTGCTTGAAATAAGCAAAAAAATCTGCCAATGGAACTAGTGAAAATCGGCTTGTCAAGATTTCTTGAAATAAGATGTAATATTTAGGACTTTTGAGATAGGAATTGATCTTGAAATTAGCCAGGTAAACTTATTTTGAGCTATATTTTACTAGTATTAGAAAGTGTTGTGTATCATAATAAGCTTGAAATGCTCAAAAGTAGCTTTTTATTTTTTCACTGTTCATGGCATCCCTCTTATTTCAAGTGTATTTAACTCATTTAAAGTTCTAAAATAGTGACATTGTCCTAGATTTTAGACCACCACCAACTTGAAATAAGATTAAAAAGTGATTATTTAAGCATTTTAGGATAAAAAATGTCTTGAAGTTAGCTGGAAATACTCATATTATGCATTGTTTTACTCATAAGAAGTGCTTTTGTATCATAACTAATCTCAATTCAAGTGCTTTTAACTTAATGTTAGCTCTACAATAGTGATACTGTTCTAAATTTAAGACAAACGCATACTTCAATGAAAACAAGTTGTGCATTAAACAAACAAATATTTTATTTGCATAAGAAAGAGCATGCCTCTTTAGCTCTGAAATGCAGGAGGGAGCAAACAATTCTTACAATACAGTGCAGTTAGTCAGTTACACTGTGCCTGCAGCACCAGTCATGTTTTGGCGCAGTGTGTATGGCACTGTAATAAAATACTAATAATAGTAAAAAAACATAGCAAAACATGACATATATGTGTAACACATGGATTACAGTCAGACATAATCATCTGACCTCTGTCTCCTCAATACACTTACAATGTGCTTATTATTGCAACAAGTTATGGGTCTTGGGCTAACATTAACATAAATATTTGACCACTGTGTCCCTCAATAGATCAACAACATTGTTATTATTGCGACCTTAACATTGGGAAACATTTGCTAAATAAGAATGGAAACGGCTTTACTTGCCAACAAAGGCATTCCAGTCAGCCATGCCCTTCTTGAAAGATGGTGTGAGGTCTCGCTCATGGATTGTGTCCAAGAGAACCTCCGTTTTTATGACAGAGAGCAGAGTGGCTACGCACCTGGGGTAAGTAAGGTGTAGAGCATAATAGTAGGCCGTAAGGTATAAAACACCCTGTGTTACCTTGTCTTTTGGGAGCGTAGTTATCAGCACATCTCCTACAGCCAGGAGGCAGTTGGACAAACTCACAATAAGGACTGGGCAGGAGAGACGACGTTTCTTCAGATAGTCATTGGGGTCTTCTTTTTCCTTAAACACATAAAATGGACATCTTTCCATCAGGATAAAGAAAAATTCAGAGGAGGAGCTATGGTTTTCTTTTACATCAGTGATTTTAGTGGTACTTGAGGAGTCCAATATTAACTGAGGTGGCACACTGTCTAAGAAGCTTTAGAACCACAGATATAAAGAATATCAGAATGTGTCTGTGGGTCTACTGCAAAAAATTGTGTTGCTTAACACACTGTATTTGAATCTATATAAATGTATTTACATTTGTTGGGCTAGGCCAGTCTTTTTAGGTCTTCACTAGGTCAATAAAAACTATTAACCAAGTAGTGCATTCATTTTGCTTACCTCGAGGACATGCACAAGAGCCTCACTCACATGTCCTAACTTCTTCAGAGGAGCAGATGAAGAGGGGAACAATGAAGGCAGCACACGTAGGATACTGAGAGCCTGTTCAATTGTTGAGGATAATATGTGTTACTTTTACACTTAGATAATACAAGGTCAAATCTGACCAACAGTTTACAACATCTGCTAAAATACAAAAAAAGTTACACAAATCATGCGATAGCCACCACAGATGAAAAGAAGACACTAGCACATAAACCTGCCTAATGTCCACCCTAATAACATCAAACATCATTGCTTACCTTTGTCCATTCCTACTGAGGGTTTCAGCAGCTTTTTCCACACACCAAAAAACTGCACCTTCTGGCAGAAGTCGTCCCATCTTCCCTTCAGCTCATCAATGTAATGGATGTTATTTTTGTCCAGAATGCGTTGAAGCTCCCCCATCACCTATCCAACATACAAATAAAGACATTTGACTGCATTGGGTAGGAGACAGAAATTGGCATACAAGACATTGTTTTGTGTGGTGCCATGTTTTAAATTATGCTTAGTCAATAATGACTTACATGTCCAATGTCCTCTGGGAATTTTCTTGTGTCTGTCCTCCTCGCAAAAAGAATCAGAGTCAATGAATGCTCTTCTGGCTGAAAATTCCCAATCCAGGAGCTGAGAGACGGACTCACGGTTTGGAGTTTTCTTCTTACGCAAAGATGCGGGCATCTTAGATGAAGGACAGAAATATACATAATTAAATACATGGCATTAATTCATAGAAATTAGTAACTTTATAAATAATATGGTAGCAATTAGTTTGAGTCTTCCAGTTTATTAGTCTTCCAATCAAAAGAAGTGTAAACTATGAACACCACATAATGGTAAATTTGTAAATGTAATGTTAGAACTCACATCTGGCATTGCTGCCCGAGTCTGGGGTGCTACTCCCTTCAGAAGGGAAGTCTTGAATGCTTGAATGCTGCCCCCCTTTTGAGGGGAGATCCAGAATGACTGTTGAGTCACTTGAATCAAATTCATCTGGGTCAGTCAGGTTGGCACTTTGGCTCCTCGAGTCGGCGCCTCTTTGGATTGGTCTTTTGGGGTGATCTCAAATTTTTCAATCTTTTGTATAGCTGTGAGTACGCAGTAACCTGTGACAAGAAAAATTCAAATAAATGCTTCAAACATCAAACATGCACCTGGATGCATTTGACCTACCCATGCATACTTGCTGCTCAGGTCTCGGTCCTGCAGCATGGGGTAGTACAGCACTGTTCGCTTTGCCATAGCTGTTATTTCTGGCTTTGACGGGTATCTGTCTCTGTCCCCCGTTGCCCTCAGGATCGCGATCATACTGGTCATGGTGTTTCGGATGAGCCGACATCTGAGGTCCTTTGACATTTGGCAGTTTCTCTCTTCGCCGGCCCTCGCCAACTCAAAATATTGTTTTTGGGCATTGCTCTAGTTTGGTGTCAGTGTGCAATACATATTCTGGGAAGGATAACTCAACAACATTTTCAGGTGTTGTGTGCTTTGCAGGACATCTTTTTACTTGAGTGGATGTCTGAGATAGGGGTGACCCAATCATAGAAGTAGAACTGCTCGTTGATTTTGAGTCTCCTGTAAAATAAAAGATAATTAAGTATTTGTAAAAGCAACTTTTAATTTATACTGTCTTAACACAAATTGTGATGCAGCATTGACAACTCCACTAAGGTTATAACAATAATCCTAAATAGTTTGTGTTAATATTCTCCTTTTAGTGATAATGAAGGTAGGTTTAGTGATTGCCTTATGGTGTTGGATATAAATACTTACTAAACAAGCAGAAAATGAATAAACTTACTTCATCATCAAAAAATGTAAATACACATGATATAACAATAGATAAAGAAATGACATACCTCAGTGGATTATGCATCACATCAGAGTGGTAAATTAAACATTTTAATCAGTCGTAACTCTCTTAATTCTGAAGCAATTTTAATTCAAATTTACTGAATGTATATAGCAATCTACATTTTTTAGAAACTCATAAAAGCATACATTCTAAATAATTTATATTTTAAGTTGTGGTTATTCCGAATGTTTTAGTATAATAGAACAGAGTAGATCCACCCCAGTAACTGGATTTAATTGAAACACGTAACCAGTATAAAGTTAAATTTATCCAATTTATAATAAAACCATTCCATTCAAATCTGTTCAGAATTAAGAGTTACTACCGATTTTATAGAGAGGACTGCAAGTCTTAATCTGTTTAAATTTAGCTGATCTTAACCTCTCTGATGAATCATAAGTATTGCAAAGTAGGTTTTTACTTACAAGGGATTTTTCTTGGTGTTACTGGTGCATATTAAATATGACGAAAATTAATAACCACGTTAAAAATGTATATTTGACTACGTTACCTCTTAAAGTCGACACCGTGACGTCATCAAGTTCGTCCATGCTGTTAGCAGTTTTAGCTAGCAAGTTAAATAACGTTAGCTAACGTTAGCTAGCAAGATAGCTAGCTAACGTTAGCTTGTGCTCGGCTGCAACAGTGTACACAACAAATAATATTAAATATAATATTTAAAATGTATTGGACTAAAAAAACTGAGATATTCGATACAACTTAACCTGCAATGAAATACGAATTCAAACCGTCTCGGACGAGGCAGCTTAATTACGCACCTGTAACGTTCCCTCCAGTGAGCCGTCTGTGTTCCGTACTGCGCATGCCCAACTTTCAACAGACACGACAAACGAGTAAGACGTCTCACTCCTTCAAAGAACTAGTGACTGTATTATGCTCACTGTATTATGCTCAGATTTTGAATAAAACGCGTTGTTTTTCAGAGACGGAAATAGTAGTGGAGTGGGTCCTCTCTCTTTTTTGTTTAATCTTTAATGAGGACTAACGTAAAATAGCGGGACAGCCTTCCCACTGCTGAGCCGTAGACTGCTACCATTTACAAAACAGGGGTTTATGGCATTGATTAATTTTTTCAAATTAATTAAAAACAACTAGTTTTTGAGTGTTTTTAGGAATGTGTTATATTTGTGTATAGCTTGACTAAATTGTTGCCCATTTCAGATGAATTATTCTGTAAAGATAACTAAATAAGAACTTGATAAACTACCGGTAATTTCTCCCGGGCTGGATATAACGTGTTGGCTTGCTGCACTCGCCTTAACGTTAGGAACCTTGCTCCTCCAAGATGATCTGCCGTTGTTTCATATGCTACATTTTTGTGGCGTTTACACTGAAAAACATTGAGTCACATCAACTCTTTACACAGTCGCAGCCCTGACTTTCGCATAGTGTGTGGCATTGATGGCTGTCCTAGTGACTATATGAGTGTATAACTTAACATGATTCAGACACATTCTGGGGACCTTGGTCAACTGAAGAGTGATGTGATGGGAGTATTTGACCAGTTTAATGATCCTTTCAGTCAAATCGCTACAACACATTTGCAGGATAAAACAATCAAATAACTGTTACAGCCAGTTGAACCAGAGACGATTATATAAAAAAATACGGTATGTTATGAGAGTTCTTACCATTGAACACCATTACTTTTATTATATACCATTGTTGAAGTTTGGAACAGCTGTTAATGCATCCAAGAGTTCTTGCAATGATTGATCAGGGGCCACAGCCATGCCGGGATGGATTTTTTCACGATTGTATTGATGGAGACATTTTTAAATCACACCCACTGTTTTTGAGAGTCCCCACAGCATTGCAATTCATTTTATATACAAATGAAATTGAATTGTGCAATCCTCTTGGATCTCGGGCAAGCAAAAACAAATTGTTATTGATTTATTACACCTTAGGTAACATCAACCCTAAATACAGATCAAGACTTGCTGCCATTCGTCTGCTTGCCATGGTAAAATCAAAAGATATTTCTGATTGTGGTACTGATAAGGTGCTTGAGAGCATTAATTGTGACTTGATTGAGCTGTATGATAGTGTTAAAAGTTGTCACTGCAAATGGTGAGAAGACAATTTTTGGGGCGCTTATGACTGTGTGTGGAGACACTCTAGCTCAACATGAAGTGGCTGGATTTAAGGAAGGAGTAGGGTTTGCTTACAGTAAATGCAGACACTTGAATGCAACTTTGACGACATGCAGGAACAATTGAATGAAGATTTGTTTGTTAAAAGGACCATGACAAGTCATATCGACAATGTAGAGACATTAAAAAAGCAAGCACTGACTTTCTGAAAGAAAATCTTGGTATTATATGGTATTAATAGGAGAAGCAAATTAACAGAATTTCCTCACTTTGATATAATCAAACTCCACAAGACATCATGCATATTATTCTTGAAGGTGTTGCCCCATATGAAATCAAATGTGTTTTAAACCATTTTGTGCTTTCAGAGCATATGGAGTTAGACGCATTCAACAGTGCAATTATTGTTATCCTTTACTCTCTTTTGGATGTAAGAGATAAGCCTTGCCCCATATCGGTCAATACACATCAAATGACAATAAACTGAAACAGTCAGCAAGGCAGATGCTGGTTTTGTTAAAGAGCATGCATGAATGTAGTCAGAATGTGCATGAGACACATCCAATTTTTTCAAGTGAAGTTGATATCGGCCCAGTCTCTGAGGTTCAAAATGTTCACTACGTAGAAGGAAAGATTAAAGACTTCTTAGAAATACAGAACCTTCAACATATAGTTTCGGTAAAGTGGATAATGCAACATGGAAATAAGTGTAGATGTGAGAAAACTTTGGTTATTTGTAATGTCATCAATAGTACTCCAGAGTCTGGACTTGTGAAAAACATCTACATAGTAAATTCTTCACTGTATTGTTTTGAATGCCAGCCTCTCTCTATAAATGAGTGGAATGATCATTATTTATCTTATGAGGTACAAGTTCCCTACCTCGCTCAAGCCAATATTTTTGTGGATGCTGATAAACTTGATTGAAAGAATAGTTCAACATTCTGGGAATCCCTAGTCTTGTGATCACCATGAGGCAAACAGCAGAGACTCCAGAACTATGAGTTTTTGTCCAAATCCGTTGAAACTTAAGGATTTCCTATAAACAAGATATATTTTCTTAAATCAAAAAAGTCTAATTCCTGAAACAAGATGATTTATCTTTTGCAAACAACACAGCAGCTTAAAAATCTCTTCAAAAGTTAAAAAAGCTTGTTTCATATGACATATGACTCAAAACTAGATGTTTTCAAGACCTTTTCACTTAACAAGATATTCAAGATGTATTGTCTTAAAACAAGTCCCTATATCTTGCTGAAATCGTATGTGGTAGGCATTTGTATCTTATATTAAGTGTAATGGGATATTTTGACTAGAAATGAGACAAATATACTTGGTAAGATTTTGATTTTTTCCAGTGTATCATTGCTTCCCTGAAAAGAGGATGACTGTTACTTTATTCGCTCATTGTAGACCCGGTGAATCATAAATGCCGAAGTTTTGTGGTCGACCGACACCCCGTTGACACTTCCAGACAGGCTTTAGCACGAGTGAGCCTGCAATCACTCAACGGCGAGAACAGAGCGCTTCATTTCCCTGTGGGAGCGGCCATGTCG